GGGCATATCAGGATGGCTTTGGGGGAAGGGGAAGGAGGTGTAAACCCCCAATCTCTCTGCAGGGGGAGCCAGGAGAGTCAGGGTCTCCAGGGGTCCAGGGCGAACCAGGTGTCAAGGTGAGTGATGGCTCTGAGGCCCCACTCCCAACCCCCTTCAACCCCCTTGACTGCACCCCCACTTTCCTTGACCTCCTTGAACTGAACTCTGCATCCCAGGGGCCTCTGCTCCCCGCCCTCCTCTGCGGGCCACAGCTCTGGGTCTGAGTGAGCCCCGACACCCTTTCCTTGAAGGGTAGGCCCGACCCTCTACGAGTGCCCCATTGTCATGGGGGTGGTTGGGAGGTCTTGGAACCAGAAGCTGAATCCCTGGTCTCTGGCACTCCCTTGGGACTGTCTGTGACCTCCACTCATTTCCAGGGTCCACGCGGGGAGCGTGGGGAGAAAGGAGAGTCGGGGCAGCCCGGAGAGGCGGGGCCACCAGGGCCTAAGGGCCCCACAGGCGATGATGGACCCAAAGGGAACCCTGTGAGTTTGGGAGGGGTGTTAGGGGGCTGTGAACAGCAGACCTGGAGATAGGGGTGTGTGGAGGCTGGGGGGCCTGAGTCAGGGGTGCCCAGGAGGATGGCTCTGGGAATGGGGTGTCCTGGGAGGCGTGCATTGGGTCTAGGAGCGAGCGAGAGTGAGATACGCTCTGGCTGGTCCCCTGAAGCATTAGAAGACATGTCTGGCATGAGCTGGGAAAAGGGGGTGCAGGAGACCCTCTTCCTCGGGTGGCGCCAGCGGGCACTGCCTGCAGAGAAGGGAGTGTGGTGAATACCTGTGGGAGTCTCGGTTGGCTCTGGGTGGGCTGGGGTTGTGACCCTCACCCTTGTTCTCTGTCTGGACCAGGGTCCTGTCGGCTTTCCTGGTGACCCTGGCCCCCCTGGAGAAGGTGGCCCTCGGGTGAGTCTTCCCTGGGAAAGGGAAGTGGCACAGGTGGGGGGCCTCTGTGGAGGGCTTCCGTGTGGCTGATGGGCTCCAGCTTTGGGAAGCTGGGGGCATGGCAGGGCAGCAGAGGGATGTGGGGATCTGCAGTTTTGGGGGTGATACCAGCCAGGTTAGGCCTCACCTCTGACTTTGCTTCACCCCTACAGGGCCAGGACGGTGCTAAGGGTGACCGTGGAGAGGATGGCGAGCCAGGACAGCCTGTGAGTGACCAGTGACCCCGCCACCCCCACCGAGCACAGGCCCCTCTCCCCTCTTGTCTCCACTCCTTAGGGGTCCCTTGGCTGGAGGCTGAACACTCACCCATCCCAATCCTCTCTCCTTAGGGATCCCCTGGCCCCACTGGGGAGAATGGACCCCCTGGACCACTTGGAAAGCGGGTAAGTGAGGTGGACACGGGATGTTGGGTGGCAGTGCTTGGGCAGGGTGGACAGAGGCTGGGGAATGGTGGACAGGTAGAGCCGGGTGTCTGGGCTGTCCTTGGGTGTGTGTGGGGTGTGCATGAGCACGGGGGTTGAGGAGGGTGCTGTTACCTTGGGCTGTTTGTTCCTGGGTCTGGTATGTCTGTTCTTGCCAGAGGTGGTGGTGTTTACTGGCAGACACTGGAGGAGGGGCCGGCCAGCTTTTCCGGAGGGCCTCCCTGGGCCAGGGCTGAGCCCTTTCACTGCTGAGGCAGGAAGGGGCCACTGGTGGGGTGCGGGCACCTGGCCCTTTGCCAAATGTGCAGAACTCCTCAGCATTCTCGCTGGCACTGCTGTGCCCGTTATTGCTGTGTCTGACCCAGCGCTCTGCGTTTGGGCCTGTCCATGGCCGTGTGTACGTGTGTCCAGGATGGCAGGATCGGGGACAGTCGGGCCTGGCTGTGCACTGCCTTATTCTTCCTTCCTGTCCCCATCTGCAGGGTCCTGCTGGCACGCCTGGGCCGGAGGGGCGACAAGGAGAGAAGGGAGCCAAGGTGAGGGAGAGGCCACCCTGGATGCTGGAGCAGTCCCTCCTCTTCTCGCCCCTCAGAGCCCCGTCTACCGATGCCCATCCCACGTCCACCTCCTTAGGGGTCTCTTGGCGGGAACTCTGCAGCCCAGGAGTCTGTTCCTGCCCTCCTCTGCGAGGCGGGGTCTCTGGGTCTGCCGAGCCCTGACACCCTTCCTTGAAGGGAAGAGTCTGGGGAGCTCCCCTGTAGGCCCGACTATCTGTGCGTGCCCCATTGTCACCGGCGGCGTCTCAGAGCCAGAAGCTGAATCCCTGCTCTTCAAGGCTCCCTTGGGACTGTTTGTGACCTCCACTAGTTCCAGGGTCATCTTGGCCCTTGTCCTTTCAAATCAGTATATCTAGTCCCCTGCCCCCACTCCCCCAGACTCAGGCTGAACTTGTAAGAACAGGGGTTTCCTGTGCTTATTCCAGATCCAGGGGCTCCTAGGGTTTGGCCTGTCCTCCCCGCCTCACCCTTCCTGCCTCGAACCACCTTCCCCAGTCTGCACCCCTTTTTCTGCCCTTTATGACCCATTCTTTGTGTGTTTCAGGGGGATCCTGGTTCTGTGGGTGCCCCAGGAAAGACAGGCCCTGTGGGTCCTGCAGGCCCAGCAGGAAAACCTGGCCCTGATGGCCTGAGGGGACTCCCAGGCTCAGTGGTGAGTGGTGAAGGGTGGAAGGTCATGGGAGGGGTGTGGTGTGGGGACGCTCCTCCTGACCCACGGCCCCCTCAAATCTGCAGGGTCAGCAAGGCCGTCCTGGAGCCACAGGCCAGGCCGGGCCCCCAGGTCCTGTGGTGAGTGACTCGGCCTGGGCCGAGTGGAGGTGGAGGTGAGGGCAGGCGCTAGGGCAGTGGGAGTGAGCTGAGTCTGGAGGGTGACTTCCTGTTTCCTCGCAGGGACCCCCAGGGCTTCCTGGCCTGCGGGGCGATGCTGGAGCCAAGGGAGAAAAGGTGGGTGACGGCCAGACAGACGTGTGGCCAGGTGCCTCTCCCATCACCCTTTCCTGCTGTGGGGACCCTGAGCGACTCCACTCCGCTCAGGCCAGCACTCCATCCTCGGTCCAGTCAGCGAGGGCCACTCATAGCACCTGCTGTGTCCCCAGACCTGTGCCCGTGTCCTTCTCTGCAAACTCGTGGTCCTTCCCTCCATGTGACTCCTTTCTGCACCCCTGTGACTACCTGTCCCCTTCTCCAGGGTCATCCAGGTCTCATTGGACTGATTGGGCCCCCTGGGGAGCAGGGAGAGAAGGGAGACCGGGGACTTCCTGGCCCCCAGGGCTCCCCTGGACAGAAGGGAGAGACGGTGAGTGTGGTGTGGTCCTGGGAGGTGTGGGGGTGAGGGTGGGCATTCGTGTTGGGGATGTGGGGTCGGGCCCTCAGCTGTGGGGAGAGGGCACAGATGCTCAGGAGGGCTGAGGAGGAGGACCCAGTTGGATCAGGCCCCTTTCCTCCCTAGGGAATCTCAGGAGCAACTGGCCCCATCGGTCCTGGAGGGCCCCCTGGGCTCCCCGTAAGTACCCGAGTACCCCATCTGTTCCTCCACTAAGCCCCCAAGTTCCCTGTGCCCCGACCTCCCAATGACTCCCATGGGAACTCCTAGCCCATAAGCATATGTCCCCAAATGTCCTCCTGTCCTCGCAGGGCTTCCCCAACCCTTCTGGGGTGTCCCATATTCCCGCGTAGCTGCCCCTCTTGTGGCATTTCCGGGGCTGTGACTTGTGACCTCCACTGTCTGCATTTCTCCGTGTCTGTCCTTCCCCTACAGTGACTGTTTCTTCTTCCTCATTTTATAGGGACCTGCTGGCCCCAAAGGAGCCAAAGGAGCCACAGTGAGTGACCCCTGCCAGCTCTGACCTTTGCCCCCCAGCTGGGCTTGATGCTGTCTCTCCAGGACAAACATACTCCCCTCAGTGGAGTCCCTGACTCACAGCTCGGAGACTGCTTTGACCCTTCTGTGACCTTGACCCCATTTGACCTCTTGACCTCTCCATGACCTCATTTACTTCTTTGGCAGGGCCCAGCTGGACCCAAGGGAGAGAAGGGCGTTCAGGGCCCTCCGGGACACCCGGTGAGTCAGGGCCTGCTCTCCGGCTCTCCTGCTTCTCTCTGTTCTGGGGTTCCTCTGCTGCGTACTCACATCGCCCTCGTCTCTTACCGTCTCTGTCTGTCTCTCCTCCAGGGTCCACCAGGGGAGGTGATCCAGCCTCTGCCCATCCAGATGCCCAAGAAGACTCGGCGCTCAGTGGATGGCAGCCGCCTAATGCAGGAAGACGAGGCCATGCCCACCGGGGGCGCCCCAGGCAGTCCCGGGGGGCTGGAGGAGATCTTTGGCTCCCTGGATTCCCTGCGGGAGGAGATCGAGCAGATGAGGCGGCCAACAGGGACCCAGGACAGCCCCGGTCGCACCTGCCAGGACCTGAAGCTGTGCCACCACGCG